GCGGCTCGACCTACGGCGGGCTGTGGACGGCGCTGGACCCTGCCGACGGGTCGATCATGTGGCAGACGGCGGTGCCCGAGGGCCAGGCCGCCAACTCGAGCGTCGCGGCGGCGAGGGGCGCCACGGCGTACTCGGCAGTGACGGCGGCCAACGGAGTGTTCCTCGTCGGGTCGAGCACCAAGTCGTTGGGGGCGTCGAACTACTTCGCGCTGCAGGCGGACACGGGGCGCATCCTGTGGGACTACGCGCCGGGCGGCTCTGCCGTGAGCGGACCGTCGGTCGTGTCGGGCTCGGTCTACTGGGGCTGCGGCTACGCGCGCATTGGGAGGGGCTGCAAGACCTTCTACGCCTTCTCCGTCCCCTCGTGCTGATGCTCAACCATCTTTACGTGAGCAAATGCACCCAATACTGTATTCATCTTATTTGTCAAGAGAAAAGAGTTGTATTGAAGAGGATACGAAGTGTGACAGATATGGAAAGTGGTGAAAGAGAAAGAATAGACGATGGTTCGAGACTGGTCGCTTCCAACACACCCCCGCAGTTGAGATAAGTCATAGATCATTCACAAGTAGCCAGATTCAGCTTAGCCATATTGAGTCTGAGCTTGATCACTGGAATGGGCTTTAGGAAGTCAGTGAGGTTGTTGTTTGTAGGAACATAGAATAACTTGATGACTCCACTTTGAAGATTATCATGTACAAATCCCTCCTTGATGGTGAAATGTTTCAGATGAGTGTGGTATGTGTACAGTGGTTTCTGCACAATAGTGAGAGTGGATTGGTTGTTGCAAAAGATGTTGATGGGTTGATTGAGGTCAAGGTCTCTGCAACTTCAACAAGTGATGTAGAGCAAAGCTCCAACAATGTGTTGAAATCTGAGCCTGAGGCATTCAAAGGGAGTGGCCTCAAGGATGGCAAGTTCACACCTGGCAGGTAGCAGGGAGGAGAGTGGCTTGCAGTTGCTCAGGCTGAACTCTCTGCCAGCTCAGTGATCTTGGTGGGCTGTGAGAGAGCTGGTACAAACATAAAATTGCAATCCAACACACATTCACTGGTAAATCTGTACATAAAAAGGGATTCTGCCATTGTCATTCCTTCTTCAATAACATCCTCCACTTCTGTACATTTTCTGATAATGATACCCAAGCTTTCCTTGATTTGTACACCAACCTCATGAAAAACAGCCAAATGGTGGCCTTTTATGTGCAGATAGTTGATTTTTGTGCTAAGCAAAAAGGGTAACAAATACCCAATATTTCACTAAAAATTTGTGCATATTCCCAATCTGACGTGCAAAAGATTGGCATTGTGTACAGTATCCTTGAGGTGATGAAGGAACCTGAGGATATCAGTGCCCCCTTTGAACGAAGTGGTGGCGCAGTGGTGGAAGAGGCGACCGAGGGTGCGGTAGCAGAGGGGCGAGAAGAGCGCGGACGTCGCGTAGCGGTGGTGACAGGTGCGACCAGCGGCATCGGCCTGGAGACCGCCCGTGCACTCTACCAGCGCGGCTACCACGTCGTCCTTGGTAGCACCCCACCAAGAAGATTTCCCTGTAATTCTTTTTTTGTAATATTGTTCTTTGTTTTATATTCTTATTATTTACTTTTTTTCATTCAATATGGAGCATGTCGCGATACGGCCAAGTGCGGGAAGGTGGTCGAGGAGTTGGCGGCTGAGGGAGAACAAGCAGTGTCCCCCGGTTCGGCCGAATGCATGGTACGCGTCGCGTTCTACCAGTTCCCCGTGCGCATTGGACTCACCCGTGTTGTGTGCAATGTGTGCGTTGTGTCGCTGGCCGTGTTGCGTTGTATGCGCGTGCGATGGTCAACAAAACAACAGTCGGTGGACCTCACCTCCCTCCAATCAGTGCGCGACTTCGCCGAGGAGTTCAAGCAGAAGCGCCAACCGCTCCACCTCCTCATCAACAACGCGGGGATCTACAGCCCGCCGTACGGCGAGACCAAGGACGGCTTCGAGTCCCAGTTCGGCGTCAACTACCTCTCCCACTTTCTGCTCACCGTACCCACACCTCCTTGCTGCGCTCGTGG